AATGAAGCGGGCTTGCTATATTTGGTCCAGTTCGTGTGTAATTGGAAATTCGGAATGTCCACAGCTGCTCATATTCAAAAGAAACGAAATGTAAAGGTAACATAATTAATATCAAATAATGCCGCAAATGGTCCATCCCTTCAAAGTTAACCTACTCGCCAACAGCACTCAAAGCAACTAGCCTTATTAGATCTTCCGTCAGGTCAATGCACGACATTACTTTACTCAAGAAACAGGCTGTGTCGATGTCTTTGATCTGCGTGAGACCCCCACTGTTCCACAGATGAGTTACGTCTAACGCAGGAAGATGTCTCTGAACACGCGGACGCTGGGCGCACCAACAGGACACGAGGAGGAGACGACAGAGCCTCGCAGCGAGGATGGATATTGAATACATCAAACGAGCGACGTCGCTCATAACGAGGAAGCCAGAGAGGCAGAGACCGCGCCGAATGAGCTTCTTCAGCGAGCTCAGAAGGCTGTGCGTCTTTGTTGATGGGTTGTCACCAGAAAGAGGCGCCTACAACAGACTAAAATAAAAAAAAATGACGACACTCTAGTTTCCGCCAAATAATTAAGAAACTTCGTAATAAAATGCCTCCAGCATTTCAGAATTTCTTCCTGAAGGCATGCTCCATCAAGATGAAAAGGTACATTCACGTCGAGCGAATAAAGAAAAGTGAAAGCAAACAAAAGTTTCACCACTGGTCAGGTTAAAAAAATACACTTACGGAGGCAACAACCTTGATATCAGGAATCACACTGTACTCTCCCAAGAAGAATGCGATTGGAAATCAAGGCCTCTTTTTAGCTGTCAAAAGGAGCCTATGTGACGCAGCACTGCCATGAAGGGCAAAACACAGCTAAAGCTAGCATCTCCACAAATATCCTGATTATCAGCTGATGCGCGTTTCCCTCGTATTGCAGACCTAGGTGCAGTGGCGGTGTCCCCGATATCGACCGACCTGGCCACAATATCCTGTCACCGGGGACGATCGGCCGAGCCGGGTAGCTTCATCGGTCACAGACACTCCCCAAGGCGAGACAGGTTTCCCCGGGGGCAGATCGGAGATGCCCTGGGGGTGGACTTGCCTGGATCGGGTACAGGGGTAGAACGCGTCCCGTACAGGAGCGGATCGGTGGAGAGGAGAAGGGCCGCAGAGAGCACGCACAGTCACCAATACCATGGTTGTTGCCATCAAAACGATAACCGAAGTTGACTCGGTGGGTGGGTACCGACAGCTTTACATAGTGCACTCGCTGCTACAATCAGTGTTATTTGCCTCATCACTATTTGTAGTCACACCAGCACAACTACACACTGCCACTACCGTCAGTGCGTCAAGGTAATCACCACAATCCCAATCCCAATCCACCTTAACCATCATCACCATTACCAAATCCGACCATCATCACCATACCATCATTATAGTCCAATCACCATCAATCATCATACACCTAACCATCATGGTAGTCACTACCGTCGCTCCCGTCAATCCCGCGCTGTTACTGCTGTCAGGGCAGACACCACAGCTATCACTGCCACCGGAGCCGTCACCGCTGCCGCTGACGTGCTGTGACGGTAACCGATATGGCCAGTCGGAGGGTACAGACAGCATCTGGTAAGGCGGTTACAGGCGCAATGCCAACAGATTTACATGGATAGTGCCTATATTGTCTGCAGTAGAACTGTGGGCTGTCGGCGCTTAGATTTGTTGATGTAAGTTAAAAACAATAATAATATTTAATGTGTGACGGGGATCTTCTTATCAAATGGCTGGCGTGTTCCGAGAGTTTGACTTATTGTTGAATCCGAATCATTTAGCCTTCAGCAAAAACTTTGAGTCTTATTCACCCAAAACAGCAATGCATTTTGGGTGCATGTGAATGACATTGGCATAGCAGTAGCAAGTTAAACATTCATCACAGCGCAACAAATGTTTCCTGATTCGCAAATAAAACTGTCGAACCCATTACGGCCTCCTTCGGGTTAAATAATAAACGGTCGGAGCTTCACGAGGCCCTCGAGAGCCGACATAACTTGGGGAATGGCCTCATCGCGGCGGTAATTGTGCAGGAAAATTGACGCCCTGTGTCACTGCTGTGGCGAGCACGGCTCTGAGACGGAGGCGGGAAGGGATTTGGTTGGCTCATCCGCTTAGATATGACTGTGACGAATTGACTCATCACCCATCTGCAGAGTGAGTTAACAAGTGTAGGCCCGAAACTGGTACTCGCATAAATCACCAGCCAGTTGAGTCCAACAGCAGACCGTTTTTTTTTTACATCGACGTATTCATGAGAAATACAACACGCAATCAAATATCAGCAATCCCTTTGAAGCCAAATGTGACACCTTCGACCACAAAAATACCGCCTTCCTGTTCCTTTTCTCGCCGCCTCCGTCGCGGCAGAGGCGCCGGGCCGGCTGATCGTCGTCCGCGACGACCATCGGAACCGACGGCCCGTCAGAGCTATAATTACGGCTGGTGTTTATGAGGGAGGCCGCGAACCAGTCGGGGCGCCGCCGTCCGAGCGTCAAAATATTTACCGCCGACCTGGCGTCGTCACCGCCAACAGAGCGGCACGGTCATTTAGTGCCCCCGGCTGTCAGCCTCCCCCGCAGACGGTGACACGAGGGTTGGGTTACCGGTGGGGTGGGGGGGGGGGGAGAGAAGAGCAGGGTTTGGCTAGCGGTGATTTGGTCGATTCCGCTTGTGTTTGTTGTGTGCTTGGATAATGACTGCGCGCAATGATTGATCAGCATTGAGCAAGCTGAGAAAACGCACGTCGCACGTGTTGCTGATAATGATGATTGGGTGTTTCGGAGTGTTCAGGCTGGAAAGTGAGCGGTACATAAGCGCACATATTCAAATATCGAGCATATCATCGCCAAAGAGTCCTAATCGTTCCTATCAACTTTGAGGCAGCGTGCAGCCCCAACGCACACCACGGCTCTCTCGAGACGGAGGTTGCGGGATATGGTGCCTCGTTAGCCAAAGCACGTCCGGATGAGCAGTCGAAGTGGCTACGTGTTCGCCTGAATTGTTCATTTGAGACAAAATCTTGAACAGATAAGACAAGATCCAGCTGATGAAAGCGCTTGCAATCCAAAGCCATGGAATTCGGCAGCCGTTTCCCAATCTATATTATGATTTTCTTCTTCAATGACAGGGCGACGGCGACGGATAGATGGAAAGTGAGGAGTGGAAAGGCACGGTGGGCCAAGCACAACACACGATCTGAATAGTTTGAGGTTCCCAATGTTCCACTTTCGTCATAAAATGTAGCGACAGATACCTAAAACTAAGTAATTTGCTAGTTTCGTCAATACCACGTTACATTTTGAGAGTGTTCGTTGGCTGGCGGGTAGGTATTGAAGATATCATTCTGTTATAGCGGATTATCGCAAGTAAGCACGATCCTTTTTTTTCCCCGATGGGGTGAGCCACTGAACATTTTGTGACTAGATACACAGTACGCAGTATACAGTGGCAGCTCAGTAGAGTACCTAGGGCAATCAAGTTTGGTGTTACTTCACATCAGCTTTGAAAATACGTTTGCACCCATGGACGGTATAGGTATGGTTTTAACCATCATCTCTACGCTTGATCGACGTCGGGCGCACGCTGTCTAGTCGCAATTCTCACGTTGGGTGATAACTGGTCACAGAACTCGCATGTTTCATAAAACCTTCATTGACCTCTAGTGTCGCTGTCTCCACTTAATGTAATCCTTGAGCCGACCCTGGTGGCCTGACGCTAACTTTCGTCACAACATCCGCTAATCAACTTCAAAGAACGTCCTAATGTTTCAGCCGCCCAGAAGTTCCAAAGTTTTAGCAAACTGTCCATGAACTACGATCGCAAGTCATGCCGTCGGTTGAATTCGCTTCCGGCTCGGAACAGAGTTTGTACTGCATAATGAACAGGATAAGACTTACCTACTCGAGTAAAGCCGTAGTCTTTCGAAAGGCATGCGAGTAATTTTGGATTGGATGAAGGGATGAATAATATAACTAGATTAGTTCGTAACACAATGACGAGTGTAGTGGAGCGTCTGACAGCCTCAAGCCCTGAGAGCGCCTTTACTGAGCGAAGATGGAGCTGGGCTCAACAATGGCCGCCTGGCGATAGCAATGTTCGGATAACGCAGCCTCTCCGTCTCCGGCGACTGTGTGCGCTGTTCCAGCGAAATGGCGCTTTCGCAAACAGACGGCGGATCCTCCATTGAAGCGTGAAAGCCTTCAATGCGTGGCAGAAGCAGCGTCGTTTTCGCACATTACGTCCCATATGCAAGGCGTCCGGTTAGAAACAAAACTAATTTGGCAATGTCGTGTCGGAGATAAAACATAAGTGCTGAAATGGATTTCAGCATAGCAACAGCTACGACAAACCACAAAGTGCGTGGTGTTTGCCGCACAAAGATTTGGCGATGATATCGCTCTTTTACCTACCAATGTACATCTAACGGGAATGAAAACAACTCGAGCAAAGACCCTAGATCTGTAGATTTCAAAAGACCCCAAAACCTATGTATACCTAAGTTAAGTGGTGAAAATGATATAATTCATAAACCATATTTTTCAGCAATCTTTTGTAGCTTTCATCCGATGGTTATCATACTTGGCACGCCAACGACTGTATCATCTTTTTGGTGCAGCAAGGTTTCATTCATCAAGCCCAGATGAGTTATCTGTCTAGGAGAGACGCACGCCACGACATTCAAAAGAAACTATGGATACAAGTTAGCGTAACGACCCGGACACTGACAACACCCTCCAACCCCCGTTGTTTAACAAAAAAGTATTTAACTATCCACACTTCGGTCGCAAGAAAATATTGCAGCTTTTAAGTGTTGTTCCAGCAAATTATCTGCCACCAATACTTTTTATCTGGTGCCAGAATCAAACGATTTGTTTTCCTGGAAATCTAGCCCAGCCATTCCGAGCAATCCTGAGTAGTCACACCGGTACTAGAGGCAGTCGACAATAAAAAAGAGAGCAGCAGACGATTGTTTTTATTTGGTTAACGTAGCTAATCATCCGCACACATTCATCATCGTTTCACCCATGCCGCTGTCATCTTTCATTCCCAAAAAACAGCGGACTTTTGTATGCTAGCAGTTAACCACAAACAATAAAACAATGCTCAGTAGGTACTCACTGCTGGATCCCCACACATACGATACGAACGCCTTACAATCATGCAGCCACCATTTCAGACGACCTTTGACGATCGCCAGCCATCGTTCACGCACAATCACAAACACCTAAACTCTCCGCGTCAGCCCCTGCCGGAGTACAGGCCACGTCTCCAGACGCCGCCACGCCGCACGAAAACTCCCGCGAGCGGCTACGAGCGGAAATACTCGCTCATGACGGGGTCTTTGACTCGCCACACCTGTTTATCGGTGAGATTGACCAGCCAGCCGGGCTCGAGGCCGAAGAAGATCTGCCGCGGGTCCTTGCGCTCCGTCAGAGGTCCCTCCTGGCGGAACAAGAAGGGTGGGGTCAGCTCAGGGCTCTGTGGGGGGACACACACCTGATGACGGGATGGGGTCAGCTAAGGGCTCTGTTGGACACACGCTTGTTCTTGTTCAAGTTGAACTGACCCCGCCCCTAGGCTTTGAGTGACGGAAAGATGTTGGTCCAGCGTTCCACCGGGTGGCCGTGCAGGGTTAAACGAACGGTGGCAGCAGAAGGGAACTAAAAGGACACTAGCTCCCAGCACCGGCCTTCTCAGGGTGATATCGCACCGCTGATCGATTATTATACACACGAGAGCCGTCGATGCCAGGTTGGATCTATTTATCTGCGAACCACGACATCGACCGCTGCCCATCCGCATTAGTGTATTTAACGTCAGTTATGTCGTCTCAAGACGCGGTTGCTAGAATGCACACGCCCCTTCCGTGTCCTGTGTCACGCTAGATCACGGCACCCGGAGGCCGGCGGGCGCCAATTACACGCTTCCTAACTTCGGCGTCCGAAGGATGATGCGGCCTACATGGTTCTTAACTTTGCCTCCGAGCAGAAGATGTCCATCACATGCCTTCCAAACTCAGTCTCCCTGAGGAGCGCACCCGCTGGCGGAATAAGTTTACCGGTGCAAGAGTTCATATAAAACACCACCCCACTCCTACATGCTTCGATGCCAGATGGCGCTCGCTGGCTGCTCATCAGTGTCATAATGAAAAACGAATTGTCGTTCATTCCATGACGCCATTCGTTTATATCATAGCTATGATATGCTTAATTTACATTGTTTTTAGCACACCTCACAATAGTTGAGTCTAGCCATATAAAAAACAAGGCTTTGTGCGAGCTGAAGGTAATCTTCTCACTGATGAAAAAATAACTCGCCTCATAACGCCACTACCGGCTCTTTCAAACTCTTACCAAAGTGGGGCGGCCCGAGTCAACAACGCGGCTCTCTCGCCCAAAAACAGCCGTCAGCTCCCCTGGGTCCGGCCGCAGACCGCGCTCCGCCACCCGTCACACAGGCCGCAGCTCTGCGGCCGGCCGGCCGAGCCAGTCGGCAGCGGCGCGCCATAATTTGATGGCGCCAAATCCGTTTAGGGCGCGCGCGTTACGGCCCGGTAAACAGAGGGCACATCACCACCCGACGGACGGAGCGGCGCCCGAGACCAGGCCGAGGATGGCTGCCGCGTGTTGCCGGCTCCCCACCCCGTCCGTCCCGGGCCTGCATCGGCATCACAAAGTCGGATACCGAGCAGGAAAAGTTACAGAACTCAAACAATGTTTGGATTTGTCGTTTGACTTCTTAACAAACTTGTTGAATGTAGCTACAATCCTTTACTTACTTTAGGGAATAAATGTTGGGAAGACATCCCTCGGCGCGGAAACTTTTGCCATACTTTTCAGACAAAGCAAAACAAACAAATTTTCGACAAGTTAAACATCTACCGGCCTCACGCAGTCAGATCAGACCTATTTGCTTTTCTCTGAGCAGTATTGTTACCCAACGATGGTCCAGAGGACTGGCTAGCGATCGCGATGAACGACGCACAATCGTCGCAATCGACGGGGTTCGACGGCGCCCGCGGTTCCTCGGAGACGGATAAACGCCGTCATCTCGGGACGGCCGCCAGAGACGAGGCCGATTTACTGACTTGTTTTGGGGCTTCGGAATGAACCGGCGGCCGGCACCACAGCTGGAAAGTCGCCCGGGCCGCGACGATGGACAGATGGAAGCACTAGCAGAGCGTTATCGGCCACGAACGTGAAAGACAGCAGTGTTCTGCCATGTCTGCGATGCCTCAGAGCGTGAACTTCGCGTGCTCGTAAAACTTCCTCCATGCCAAAGGACAGAGGATCATTCAAATCAAATCCCCGACAAAGCTGTGCCACTCCATGACATGGCGTTTTACGACGCCGGACTTTTGACACTTCCCGGAAGCCCTTGATCCCGCTCCGCGACCACAAAGTTCTCGGCAGACGGTAAAGGTCAGCGGCTGTGTAGAACATCCGCCCGGCGGACCGTGCCGTGTGTAGCACGTCGTCTGCCCGGGGTGTGAGTGCCTGTCCCCCGTCTGATACAGCCTGTAGTCGGCCGTAATACTTTTCGGCAGATCGACAGGCGCCACGCCACGTCGCCGACACGCCATGGATGATCCGGTCATGAAGAGTGTCACGGACAAACGTGATGAGTCGGTTTCCACAGAAAACGCCAAATGTTCGATCAGCCTACAGTCCACAGGAACTGGCGATGCGTGTGAATACTTGTCACAGCGGACATGGGTGAAATTTTGGGTGCTCTGCGTTAAACATCACGCCTGACCCGTAATATTGTGCGACACTGCTTACATTCAGCGTTTCTTCCATCGAAGACACAGATAATGGCTGCCTGACACCCATCGTCTCCACCGCTGCCAGAGACATACACGTAGGTTGTCTTCCAACGCTGTCAGGGACGCAGCTCTCTCCGCCCGCGGCCAGAAACACTATACCTGTCTTTGCCGCTGGAGACACCGGCTCTCTCCACCGCGGCCAGAAACACTATACAGTTACACTATGTAGTTGTCTCCGTCCGCGGTTACAGACACTATAGTTATCTCCGTCCGCGGTTAGAGATACCAGTTGCCTCCATTCCGCGGTTAGAGACACTATAGTTGTCTCCGTCGGCGGTCAGAGACACTATAGTTGTCTCCGTCCGCGGTTAGAGATACCAGTTGTCTCCGTCCGCGCCCGCCGCCCTCCATTGATCGCATGGATTGGCGGTGGCCGTTTTTACAGCGGCCTCCATCCCAGATTGGCGTCGATCGGCAGTGTTTGCTGGCATCTCCAGACGACCAAGAAACGCCGCGCTGCCATCGCTTCACAGGCTGGGTGGAGGGCTGAGCTAGACAACTAGGAGGCCGGATAACCCAGACAGCCCGCCTGCTAACCCAGACACAGGCCGCCGCACCGGTCGGCAAGGGCACGAGTCAGTTTCCGCGAACAAGTGATTACATTTTGGATGCTCTTCACGCGGTGGGGGATTTCACCAAGCGCGGTATTTCGGATGAAAAGAGCAGCGATGGATATGTCTGGATGTTATTACATTACTTACGTCAGTGGCCAGCGGGCGCTGTTGAATCATTGTGATAGATACGTACGAAGCGAATTTTTATTAAAAATGGTTTTACATCTTTACAAACTAGATGAGTTTGAAACTGAAAGCAAGGAAACGGCAGCATAGAAAATATACAATACTGCTGTGATTTGCAAGTGCCGAAAATGCCCGGTCCACGTAGCCCCGAGTCGATCATATTCTACGAAGCTGGTACGACACCATCCCATCCCCCAAAGCTGACCGTTGTCCACCTGGGCCCACTCGGCGGGGAAAGTCACCTAACCAGAAGTTGAGCGCGCGAGCTGCACACTCCATCGATCATAGCTGGCCGGTGCTGGAGTCCTGCACCAGCCGCGAGTGCTCAGAAGTCGCCGGTCAGGGGGCACCTCTGGCCGGCACCAGAGCGCCGTCTGCTCAGAAGTCGTCGGTCGCCGTCCCGGAAGCCGTGAGGTCCGCCGGTGGAGATATCACTCCATCCGGGAGGGCGGCCCGGGGAGCTTAAGATTCGCCGAGCGCCAACCGATTGAGGGATCGTATCAATGAAATTCCACTCGGCCGCCACAGCTCACTCTAAGCGGTACAGAGCGCCGAGCCCGGATGTGACTTCCAGATAGCTCAAGGCGACACTACAAACGTGCAAAGCCCTTAGCTAGAATTATTTGGCCAGTGAAACCAGTATTGAAAACACAGAAATGGGTGGTAGGAATGTAAGATCAATATCATAAATTGTATATTTATCATGAATTCAAAGCATCATTTTTTTTAAATCCATTACAAGTGAGTCTTGGCTGTTAAAAGATGAAACTTTACTCAATTTCTCTACGCAGCTAACGCCTAACGGCTACCATATTCTAACACGGCTCGAGAGTCTGGTGCTGGAGAACAGCCCTGACAGTAGGTATTATCTGCTCCCACCCGACTGCGAAACCGGGTCTATTTTCTCCCTGGTCAAACAGAGTCTCGGGGGAGACTCAGACGCCATTCTCACCGCTGACAGGACGGCCTGTGCGTGAACAAAGGCGTGTTTTTCCGTCACCGCCGAGTGACGAGTCAATAGCCAGGTGGTTACAACGTATGGCTGGAAGGGGATAGGGCGGGCCTGAGGTGCCGGCGCCGCTGCCGAGCTGATAGCGGCAGAGCCTATTATCACTATTTTTTGAGTGCGAGGAAGGCTCAGAGAGGAGATGTGGACAGTGCTCAGGCCAGGGTCGGGGATGTAACGGGACACGGGTGAGCCGCGGGCGGGCGGGGATGGGCTTTGAATAAAACGATGCATTTCATTTAGCATAATATTGTGAATGCGTAGAAATAGGTCAAAATGATTTCTTACCAAAACCATAAGACTGCCTTGTAGTGTAAACCGGAAGTCTCACTCAACACTCGCGATACCCTATCAACTCAAATTCATTGAGCAAGCATATAGAGCGCCGCACTTTTGCATATCACTCTACCGAGCAGGACACAACGGGACAAAAACGCACACGCGTCATATCACGCTCCGTAATATTAATCGCGGTCATCACAGCGCCCACGAAATTCGTTTTTTAAAACGGCTCGTCGCCGGGCTAGTGCCCTGTTATGACATTACAGTGCAAAACCCCAAACAGTTCCATCAGACCAAACGTTGCGTGAAAGGAGAACCCATCAGGGAGGAGCGACGTCACCCGAGAACGGCAAAACAGCTCATACGTGCGGCGTAACATCCCTAAATTTCATTTTGTCGCTGATTGCAGGACGCTCGTTGCATGGAAATGTCGTTAACGAGTCGCCCCAACACGTGTTCACGGTCAACTAAACCATTTAGTAGGCGTTTGGGGAAATGTCCACCGTGAGGTATTTGGCGACCATTTCAGCATCAGACTGGATGGTGATGCGAAGTTATAAGATACCACCTACGTCCTACGCGGTCTGCTTATGCATTGCAAGAGAGCTTTGGACGCCAGCGACCACCTCCTTCAGCTCGGAAAACGTGCCACAGCATATCCGCGCTGATTTACGTGTATTCAATGGGATGCGAGGAGCTCTCGCCAAAATGAATATCGTATCGCAAGTGAGGATGTGAACGAAACTACCTCTTTTCATGCCTATTCTTTTGCCCATAATATCTTAAATTCTAATAACAATTCATCATCCATAGAGCTGAATGTGAATTTGAATATGAATGACATTTCAGAGTAGCAGACGAAATATACATACAGGAAGGAAAGAGGAGGCTGTTGAAAAGTCAATGGCCCACATTTCAGAAACAAGGAAACGTTCAGTTTGCATAAAAGTGCGATAGTGAGGCTTTACGCATTACATGTATCTGATGTATCAATAAATCACGAAGCCTGATCGGTAAAGCGCAGTAGATGCACTCTAAGATCAATAACAACTATAATGGATAATTGACTTCAGCAGCCCCACAACCCCCTCCCCTAGAATTCAGTTCGTACCTTGACCTCGGGCAGTTCGTAGCCGTACTTCTGCGCCAGTGTGAGTCTGTGCCTAGCGACCTGTTCGGGGTCGGCCAGGTAGCCGCGTGTACTCGGATCCGTGTAGTAGCCGACGGCGTCCTGGGGCGGCAGCGCGCGCCGAGGGATCGGCACTCCTGGAGAGGGGGTACCACGTCAGATACAACACCAGATACCAACTCAGATACAATAAGGCATTGAGTGATTGACCTCAGCTGGGTGGGGTTAAGGCCGACGAAGTGTGGGTTTGGAAGCTTCTTGTGTAGTCAGATGTAGGTAAGGTGCGGTTAGAGCAAGGGATTACTCCCCCGTCCACCGTTCAGTCTGCCACTTCACCAGAGGCAGGCAGAGTGAAACAAACACCCATTACGTAGAGTAGACCGGTGGCGAGCTCAGAGGGCCGTGTTGAAACCCGGCGGAAATGTTCGGAGCTGGGAGGATGGCACAGCAGATTTCATCACACCACACCAGACACAGCGACAGAGGCGGCGCCAACAGCGACATGACATTTCACAGAGCTGCGCTGACATTTAACTACCCTGCTGCCATGCACATTGCATGATGTCGTTACTCCTCCGGCCAATACCGGGCAATGCAAATGTCTAATTACGCAAACAAATCACGGTAATGGTGGCAGACTTTAAGCATGATATAAATGTAACAAACAACGACAAAACAGCCAACATCAACTACAGCAACTAACGTCGTAAGAAGTGCAGGCCGTGCAGTGTAATCTGGCATTGTATGCCGCTCAGAAGACAACGCATCTGGGCTGCATTCGCTGTTGCCAAGGCAACAGATGCACTCCGACTGGGCAGAGGTATTGAGTGGGCGCCGGTGAAGTACTGACAGGAAATAATGGACAGAGCAGCACTTTGATCACAGGACCTGTCACTTACATCATAGTAACAGTCCGAGCAGCACTACTTGCCGGAAACGTCACTAAATAAACTAATCTAGACATGAAAGCTTTAAGCTAACCTAGCTTAGTCAGTGCGGCACAACAGATCACAACGAAAATTGTCAAAAGAAATCGCTCAGTATGTTTCCAGGGCGTCCAGCATTACTCTAGAAAACGCCCAGAGACAATGCGACGGAAATACGTTTGACAATTAGCTGAAAATGTTGTGACAGGCTGCAGCAGATGGGCGGAAACTATAAAGGTAAGACAAATGAGACTCGACAGCGGCGAAACTGGCGCTCCGCGGCTTTCAAGGCCGTCACTTCCATCACTCCCCGGGCCGCCATAAAATGAGTCAATCAGACCCATTAGTCAAGTTCGGCCGGCGCCGTCGACCAGATTATAACCTGGGCCTAAGTGATTGGTCATAAATTTCCAATCTTTCTCCAGCTGTCCATTCACGCGTGTGCGCTGGCAGCCATCGCCGGCAGCGCCAGCTCGCCCCAGCGTAAAGTCGCCGTCACAAATTCGCCAACTTCGTCAATCAGGGCCTCTCGAAAATCATCACCTCCTCCCAAGTCCCAGCCCTCATCCCCAGCTGATCGCGCATTAAAAACACACGCACGGCCTCACTAAATCGCCAGCCGGCCGCGGCCAAATCATCACCGCGCTGCCAAAATCGGCCGCACGCCGCCGAAAAACCGCATCGAGGACGGCTCGTCTGCGATAACAACGTCCACCAACGCTGCGGGAGGCAGTCCGGTGCACGCAGTCTCGTCCCACAGCACAACACACCATTGGTCGATCGGACGCGAGCGAACGCAGCGTCAACAGGAAGCCAGCAGCCGCCGAACAGGGACCGTCGGCGCTCGGACAGGGCGAGGTCTGAGGAAGACTGAGAGAGGCGGTCGACGGCCCGCAGCGCGGCTGACACAAACGGCCCCCACCAGACGCACCGCCGGCCAAGCGTGTCACTGATATGCTGGCAGTTAAAAGGAAAATATGGCGCCGACGGTTCACTGCTGAAGAAATTTAGAGCTGGTGTGCGTAGAAGAAAAACGGGGAAATCAAAAAGCATTATCTTCCAGGGACTCTCTTTTAAGCTTCTTTATGTTCTTTCTTTTGTTCTCCCTCCCTCCCCTCTCTCTCTCTCTCTCTCTCCACATCTCTCTCTCTCTCTCTCTCTCTCTCTCTCTCTCTCTCTCTCTCTCTCTCTCTCTCTCTCTCTCTCTCTCTCTCTCTCTCTCTCTCTCTCTCTCTCTCCCTCTCCCTCTCTCTCCTTTTTCTCTCTCTCCCTCGTTCTCTCTCTGTATTCGTTTCCCTCAATTATGTCGTATTTCTACGAAAAAAAAAACAACTTACGATTGGATACCACAATCGACCGACGCATCGATAGTCTCCAACAAAATGTTCTATTGCGTATGCTTTCATGTTCTACAGAGATATGAGTGCAATGCCTGCCTTCTAACGTTACACAATGTCCGCCATAACGGATTTGCCAATTGGGTGATGTGAAATCTGAAGACGCAGAGAGACAGAGTATTATGGCGGTCCGAGAAGAGGCGATTTCCGGGTTCATGGGGCACGCCTCCTGGAGCGCCGGCTTTCTGAATTAGCCGGTAAGTGTTTCACATTTGTCAGGACTCATCACATGTCAGGAATTCCGCAAACGTTCGCCCGGAGTGCAACACCTCTTGGCGCAGGGCAGTGGGAGGTTTTTCACTTGGGGTGCGTGTTTTTACGGTCAGACAGCCAGCGGTGTCAAAAGAACCTGAGCTACGGCAAGATCTGCGTACAAAATAATTATTAGCAGCATCTATAAAAGTAGAAGAGCAGAAAAGGAAGCCTAAAGCATTAACGCTACTTTAATTGCGCATCGGAGTGCACACAATCATAAATGGCATATGATAGAAAACAGCAACTAGCAAAATTAACCACCCCAAAATTCCATTATCTCACACACAGGCCAACATTTTTTTACTTCTCTTGCAGTTTAGCGGAAATCGCGTACCACGTAGGTAGCTACTAAATCCTTGTTTTTCAGCTCCCAGTTCCTACATTACACAATTGGATAATCTCGCTTTGCGCTGCAGGCGCAACCAGTTGTAAAACGTTTACACGCGTGAACACACAGCAATAAGCAAGAACTACGCCTCTGCATACCAAATAGCGTTGTTGTGTGTGAGAGTAACAACTGTTCTCCGATATAATTAAACTGTGATGTTTTACGTTGCAGTGCATCGAAATATATGGTAAATAATTCTGCAAAAAAGGGGCATTTCTTTACAAGTCATATACCTATCGGTGACTTGTAACTTTATATATTGGCGAATATTCGCAAAAAAAGAAAAATACGAGTATTTAAGTCAGCAAAACCTGGACACAAACATTTCCATCCGATATCAACCATCCTATGGCCACTTATTGAGTTCACTTCCTACACGAAATCGCTGAGAATAATTCTCATGTCCAAACCTATTTAGAAGTAAGCATTTTGTCCAAAACAGACGTGTACAGAACGAACGCCTGGTCTCGGCGAGCTGTCAAGTCTGATGAAAAACCCGTACTGCAAGTCAGCGACTCATAATTCCGAAAAGTGTTTGTGAAAACCAGAGGTAGTTGAATTACGGGCAAAATTGTAAAAGAATGAAAGTTGAAAACAAACAAAAGCAGTAGCTAACGACGCAGCAATGTTTTGATTTGTTTCGAATCCAGCAATTTAAATTGTAAATAAGATTTAGCTATAAAACAGTTGACTTGATTTCAAATAAGACTTTCTTGAATGTTTCTTTACTGTAATACATCATTATAACATGAAAACAGATGAAACTTAACTGGCCCGGTGAAAAGTCAACAGTGGTTCGGACTCCGGTTTCAGCAGTTGGACCTAAAATCTCAACTCTAGTCCACAATTCATTAACTTCCACAGAATGATAAAAGCCTTTCGATGTTTTACATTTCGGAGCCCCGTCTGACATCGGCTTTGCACTCGGCCACTGCGAATCGTTCGCGGGGACAGCCCAAACAATGGCGCACGACCGGCCGGCTCAGCGCCCAGCGCCACGCATGTAGTCCGCCCAGCACACGTTCTACGTGCTGGATCAGAGAGGCAGTTGGGTATAGCCAGCTCCATTGGTATGTCAGGTGGGATCAGCACCAGACGCGCGGATCAGCTCAGGATACCATGGAATCAGCTCAGCACCTGGCCAGCTCTGACGCTATCAGATACAACACCCTCTCCAGGGAGCGTGTCAATTCAGCCTCATGATTTCCACCAGAACCACATCAATGTCACAAAGCTGCTTTCGAAATAAGCCGAGGAGCAATATTGCCATGGCCTGCCAATACAATCCAGGCCGTTCAGAGCGCCCGCTTCTGCAATTCACTCAGCTGGAATCCCAAGGTGATGTAACATCTTGATGGACCATCCCCAGGAGCGATCGCGAATCGACCATATTTCAGTGGCGGTGATCAGTATTGGATTTTCTAGCGCTTTTCAGAAGCCAGCCTTTACCATACCGTGTTCCGGGATTTGGCTGAATGAAAATTGAGACGCCACAAGCAATGAGTTTCACCAGAGAGGGCAGAAGCCTGAGTCAAGTCAACCAGTTCTGATCATTGAAAATCTTATTACGGACTGGGCGCCAATAACGCGAGAAAAATTCCTGTTCAAGCTTCCGCTAATTGGAAGCCCACTTACCCTCAATTAACGTTTCTGAAGGGTGCAATGCTGTCGTCCATGCAACCGAAATAATGGCAATTGTGACGACAATTAAAGCCGACTCCAAATAAGGCAACATTAATCATCTAAGCACGATCACTCTAAACGTGATTAGTATTACGAATCTTGTAACAGTTGCCGATTCATCCTCCAATGATCAAAGCCACGGCCTCTCTTAGCAGAGGAGAGGCTTCCTCTCTTCAGATAATATCCCACAGCGACACTCTGCCGAGCAGACCTGCACATCCGGTTATTCAGGCGTGCTCAGCTCTATTATCTGAGAGTGCTGGTCGCTGGCAAACCGGGGCGATACCGGCCGAGTACAAATGGAAATCGACCACTGGAAATCGGCGCGGCTGCGACGGCTGCTGAGCCCCGACGGGCCCGATGAGCCGAGGGGATTAGCAGCGTTTATAGACGGCCGCTGTCGGGTGGGCCAATCGACAGGCGCCCGATGACCACGGCTGCTAACGGTAATGTTAGTGTTGGGAAAGTGATAGCAGAGCTGTTAGTGT